TTGTGGGTTAACTGTACGCACTGTATAATGTCTATCGGGGGTGGTTGAAAGGCCCTCTCGGGGTAGGCTCTCGGCTCTCCCCCTCTCTAAACTAGAGTTCGAGGGATGGATATCAGTGGTAGGAGATTCGTTGAATATGGACCTTCGTTCCGTGCCCGTTATTCTTTTTTTTTTTATATATTTTTTTTTCTTTCCCGTCGCTCTTTTTCCCTTCGCCGTCTCCCCTCTATTCCCTTCCGGTGGTAAAAGAGAGAAGAAGAATTGTCGAGCCTTTCCCTTCCCACAAAAGCTGGGCGAGTGACAAGCGGGAACCGAGGGTTTGGTAGTGGCTTGCCCGCAGCCGTCAAAAGGCTCGTCGTCGCCCCTCAGTCAATTCGCGGTGAATCCAAGGCACGATTCGGCGTTGCCGTTGTAGATTGTTGTTGGGGTTCGATAAATTTCGAGGAGCGATAGGGGGTCGCTGACGGAGGTGACGGTGACGAAGGTGACGTAGTGGGTGCTTTCGAAACAGAGTTCGAGTGCCTCCTTTTCTCCTCCCTTTTTCCCTTCGGGGCGGAAGGGAGCCAAGCAGAAGCAGCAGCAGCAGCAGCAGAGCAACCGAAAAAAAGCCCTCCCAACCGAACCACCAAGCACAACCCACCAACGTTCGTCTCGTGTTAACTTATCCTTCTTACCCTTCTCCTTCCCCTTCCTCTCCCCTCTCGCTTGACCTCTTCACTCTCTCCGCTACTCCTTTTCCCCCCTTCCCTTCGGTTCTCTCTCCCTATTCCCCTCCTCCCTCTCTGACTCTCCTTTCCTTCTCTGTCCTGCAAGCTCCGCAATGTAACCCCGATCCGACCTTCCTCACCTCTTAATTGAATATATGTCAACCTTGGGGAAGACGATAAAAGGAAGAATCGAAAAAGTCAAAGGTTTGGGAGAGAGAAATGGTGATGCCTACGATCGCGAGGAGCAGAAAATACGGTACGGTAAGGGCAAAAAAAGAAAAAAAGAAAAAAAGAAAAAAGAAAAAAAAACTGCCGTCACAGAGCCAAGGTCAGACAGCAAATCCGCACCCAGCAATTAAGCGACAGCGCGCGCGCACAGATGATAATAACGATTTGGGGGTGAACGAGGCACGGTATTGTATGAGTAGTTCTCCGGACAGAGAAAGGGACAGATTTGCGGTGTCTACTTGTGATCCGGGCGGTGGGATTTTGCCCTCCAGCGAGCGGGGAGATGGCACGAGAGCCGTTTTAGTCTGCGGCGGGCAGGCACGAGGTACGAGGGCTGGGTCGTTGCACCGTACTAGTACAAAGTACCCGCAAGAAGTTGAGAGAGGGTGAGAAAAGGGATTTGGAGGAGGAGAAACGTATTGTTACTCGTACTGACTAGATGATCGGTAGGTGCTGTATGGTATCACACAAGTACAAGTGCTCGAGCAGGTAAAAGGAGGAGGGGTGTGAAAGGGGGACGGTGACGTTGTAGGGAGCGGCAAGCATCATCGGTCTACGAGTACATCAACTCGACGACTCTTTCCTCTCGTACCATAGCGCACGGGTACCGCACTCTTGTGCCATGATTGCTAGGCTACGGTAGGGGAGCCACAGGTTGGATTACTCAGGAAAAACCGAGGGCTCCCCGATCCGTCCAAACATTTTCCTCCTCCGGCAAAGCGTTGGTGAGGGATTGTGGACCTTCCCGGCTCCTTTCTTCCCATGGGCCACTCAGAGGTCCATACCCGTAGTCTACTTGTGCTCGTACTCGACCACCCGTACTCGTACGTACGCTTACCGGTAGCCCATCCCCAGAGGAGAGAAAAAGAAAGCAGAAAAGGAAAATGTAGAGAGGGTGTGGCGGATGACGTATGATCTCATCTGAGACCCAGCTTCCGGTTTCGGTGGTCGCGCTTTGAGCCCGTCAGAAGGCTTGAACAAAGGAAATGGGACTAACTTAGCCCGGAAGTCGGAACGCTGACCTCCCAATGGACTCGATTGCCCGGGATTTAACCGAACACTTGCTTGGCTCAAGGACGCCATTCCATTCGGTGATGACTTTTCCATCACAACTGCAGACCTTTTCTCTCCCCCTCCTCCCTCCTCCCCCCCT